ACATGCATTAGCTATTTCTATGTTTATTGCCCGCCCCACTACGATGTCACTATTTGGTGGCCTATAGACCACACCTATCAGTGACTTCTTCTCCCTGCTATTCCTAATTTCCACCCAAACGGATTCAACCTTTTGTTCAGTAGAACCTATATCATCTCTCACAACCACCCTGATATCATCCTTAAAAATCAGAGCGACACCACCTCCCTTACCTTCCTGTCTGTCCTTCCGAACAGTTTGATACCCCTGGATATTTAACTCCCAGTCATGACCATCCTGCAACCAAGACTCTGTAATGGCCACTAAATCATACCCATTTGCCATGATTTGCGTCGTCAACTCATCCACCTTGTTTCGAATGCTCCGAGCATTCAGATAAAGTGCCCTTATGCCAGTTTTTGCACCTTCTTTTTGGGTCCTATCACCTCCATTACTAACAGCTCTTCAGTTCTCCTTCCCTTTAACTTTTCTCCTAATTTTCAATGGACTTGAAGCCTCTTCATCACCTGCTAACCTGCTGCTTTGCCTTACATTAATTGTTATACTCCCTGTATGCTCACTCCTCCCTTCCCCCCTACTTACTATTTTAAAGTCCTATTGACCACCCTATTTACCCTTTTCGCCAGAACACTGGACCTGGCCCTGTTGAGGTGGAGTCTATCCCAGTGGTATGGATCCGTCCTGTCCCAGAACTGATGCCAGTGCCCCATGAAAAGGAAAAGCTCTTTCCCACACCACTCTTTTAGCCACGTGTTTACTTCCCTGATCCTTGCCTCCCTATGCCAATTTGCACGTGGCTCAGGCAGCAATCCAGAGATTATGACCCTTGAAGACGTGTTTTTTAATTTTGTTCCTAACTTTTCATAATCCCGACAGGTCTTTTTTCCTAGTCCTGCCTATGTTGTTGGTACCTACGTGGACCACAACAACTGGATCCTCCCTCTTCCTCTCTAGTATCCTCTTAAGCTGGTCAGAGATGTCTCGCACCCTGGCACCGGGCAGGCAATACACCATGCGGGATTCTCTATCCTGCTTACAAAGGATACTGTCTATCCCCCTGATGATGGAATCCCCTAAAACTACAATCTGTCTTTTATCTCCCTCCTCCTGAATGGCCTCCTGGACCATGGTGCCGCGGTCAGTTGACTCATCCTTCCTGCAGCCCTGTTCCTCATCCACGTAGGGAGCAAGTGCCTCATACCTGTGGGACAATGTCAAGGGCTGCGGCTCCTGTGGTCCTGTCTGCAAGGTCCCTCTATCTGTCTCACTCGCAGTCACATACTGCTGTCCCTGGCTGCTGATCGAATTAACACTAGTTAATCTACTAGGTGTGACTGCCTCCTGGAACACAGCATCCAGGTATCTCTCCCCCTCCTGGATGTTCCGCAGTGTTTGGAGTTCGGATTCCAGCTCATCAGTTTTGAGCTGGAGCTCCTGAAGCAGCCAACACTTGCTGCAGACGCGGTCACTGCCGTTCTCAATGGGATCAGCTAGATCCCACATCATACAGCTACAATACATCACCTGACCTGCCATCTCTACTTAGTTAATTATTTAAAATTAATTAGTTTTTTTTTGTTTAGCAGTGTTCTCTCTTTAAGTGTTCTCTGCACCAGTAAGTTTATTCTGTTATATACTCAAACAGACTCCAGCTTTGCCTTCCGAACCGCTCCCAGAGGATTAGGCGTCGAGGTGACCTCCCCGAAAGATAACAAAGAGATGAGAAAAAATGCAAATAGCTTACCTGCTCACCACACTTAGTCGTTATTATTAGGTTAGAGGAGGTGGAAGGGTGGGAGACACTATACGTGTAGTGTCTCAGGTATTAGTTACTTCCCAAATTTATTGGGTGAAAGATAACTATTACCCAGCCGACCACTCGCGCCCGCTCTGGGACTCGTCCTCCGCTGAACAACTGTAGGCCACAGTCACGCGAGGTAAGACTTTTATAACTAAAGCTTACCTTCCCAGGCTAGTTGTAGCTAAGTGGATAAGGCACTGGATTAAAAAGCTATTGAGGTTACCCCTGCGTTGGTTTGAATCCTGCTGACTGTGATTGGAGTGAGTTATGATATGAAACATAGAGTTCTGAAGGAGTGCAAATTTGTGGCGAGTGGAAAATGGGAGACCAACCAGAGGAATGTTGAAATAGTTAAGGATCAAGGTAACAAAGATAGGGGAAGGCAGAGAGAGAAAATCTTCTGGAGGTATTAGAAAACCAAATCAATAGAAATTAAAGCATTGAAAAATTTTGAGTTCAACCAGTCTATCTTAGTTTATCTCTAAGATGAGCACTAGCATTAATACCATCTGCTGCTATGTCTTACTGGATATAACTATGCTGCTTAATATTGTCTAGACAACAACAATAATGAAGTGTTAAAAATTGTTTAGTCTTGTTTTACTGAGGTGACCACTTGAATAATTGCATAACTTTAAAATTTTAAGGCAGTTCAATCATTTTTTCTGAAGAAGGGTCTAGGCCCGAAACGTCAGCCTTCCTGCTCCTCTGATGCTGCTTGGCCTACTGTGTTCATCCAGCTCTACACCTTGTTATCTCAATCATTAATCTAGTTAGTTTTGCTTCATTTTGTTAACGTTTCTGTGTTGAATTCCATATAATTGCTCCTTAGTTTTCCTAATTTGAGTTTAAAAGATAGTTTAAAAAAGATAACATTGCGTTGTCAGTTCTACCACCTCCAATTGGGGTAGCTTGGCCCAGGAATCATTATTCTGAGTACTATTCTAAGCATTGTTCTGCTGATAAATGTGTGGCAGACCAGTTATCACTGATCTCCATTCTTGGCCTCATTGAAATATTTGGAATTTGAGCACAGTTGTTGAATTAACATATCATGTGCCACTGGTGCCAAAATGGACACATTTTCAGCAACAGTTCATGATGAATGTAATTTATTCCTAGGCTAGTAGATGCCACTGGCTGCAAATAATTTTTAATTTATCTCCAAATCATGCTCTAAATCATGTGGACATATGACTGCTACTCTAATCTGAGGCTATTATTTAAATCACCTTTTACTATTCTCTTTAGTCTTTTCAAGCCTTTAGCATCCTGGAATACAATCAGAGAATGATACAGTGCAGCAAGAAGCCATTCAGCTCAATGTGACTATGCTAGCTTTTTGGGAGTCCAGCCTCAAATATATGAGCACTCCAATTCTGGCCTCCTGAACATGTGTCCTTCTTTTTAATTGCTTCTAATGGATAACTATAAAGTTGGCAACTCAGATCCTAAACTCTAAGATTTCCTTCCTAAACTTCTCCGCCACTCTTCTTCCTCCTCTTTTAAGATATTCTTTACTACCTAGTTTTTTGGCTCACTTTGGTTGTCTGCTCTAATCTTTCTTCTGTAAAATTTTGTTATGTAAAGTTTCCAAATTAAAATCAATTTGTAAATTTTGGAGTCGATTTAGCTCAATTCTATTGTTATTATTCCCTGATGATCCCACACCTACTGGTTTTACTAGTTTGAATCAGAGATAGTAGGAACTGCAGATGCTGGAGAATCCGAGACAACAAGGTGCAGGGCTGGATGAACACTGCAGGCCAAGCAGCATCATAGGAGCAGAGAGGCTGACGTTTCGGGCCTAGACCCTTCATCAGAAAAGGGGGAGGGGAAGGGGGTTTTGAAATAAATAGGGAGAGAGTGGGAGGCGGATAGAAGAGGGATAGAGGAGAGGATAGGTGGAGAGGAAACAAACAGGTCGAAGAGGCGGGGATGGGGCCAGGAAAGGTGAGTGTAGGTAGGGAGTTAGGAAGGGGATAGGTCAGTCCAGGGAGGACGGACAGGTCAAGGGGGCGGGATGAGGTTGGTCGGTAGGAGATGGAGGTGCGGCTTGAGGTGGGAGGAGGGGATAGGTGGGAGGAAGAACAGGTTAGGGAGGCAGGGACGAGCTGGACTGGTTTTGGGATGCGGTAGGGGGAGGGGAGATTTTGAAACTTGTGAAATCCACATTGATACCATTGGGCTGCAGGGTTCCCAAGCGGAATATGAGTTGCTGTTCCTGCAACCTTCGGGTGGCATCGTTGTGGCACTGCAGGAGGCCCAGGATGGACATGTCGTCTGAGGAATGGGAGGGGGAGTTGAAATGGTTCGCGACTGGGAGGTGCAGTTGTTTGTTGCGAACCGAGCGTAGGTGTTCTGCAAAGCGGTCCCCGAGTCTCCGCTTGGTTTCCCCAATGTAGAGGAAGCCACACCGGGTACAGCGGATGCAGTATACCACATTGGCAGATGTGCAGGTGAACATCTGCTTGATGTGGAAAGTCTTCTTGGGGCCTGGGATGGGGGTGAGGGAGGAGGTATGGGGGCAGGTGTAGCACTTCCTGCGGTTGCAGAGAAAAGTGCCGGGTGTGGTGGAGCTGGAGGGGAGTGTGGAGCGGACAAGGGAGTCACGGAGAGAGTTGTCCCTCCGGAAAGCAGATAAAGGTGGGGAGGGAAAGATGTCTTACTTATAACTCTACATTTCACATCAGTTGATAAGTCATGGAAATATTTTACAATTATAACCCAAGTTTTAATAAACAATGTGATTGGAGAGGGTACCACTGTTGAATATGATCCTTATTTGTCTAATGCCCAAACTCACATGTAATAAAGACAAGCATCAATAAATATGATCAGAATAACAAATCAATTTCTCCCTCTCTAGTTCAGGGTCTCTGAAGTCACTACACTGCCCCTAAATTTGACTTCAATGAATGAAGATTGGGACATGCATTCAACCTGGGCCTCCCTAATCTATAAACTCGATATTAAACCATCATAAAACCACAGAGGGATATGGCAAATGTCTCAAATGCAGAAGCTCAACTTTTAAAATTCATCATTATAAACCCAGGGGCTGACAGGACATTAAAGAAACCAATTTTTATTCCACTAGTTTTCAATAAATCAACACTATACAATATATTTTGATTTTAAATAGGAAAAATATCAATGCTTTGCTCAAAATTTAAACAGCATCATCCTTGCTGAAGGATCAAACACCAACAACTTTAAAATCAGTTCTGTACCTGAACGGTTTGCTGTCTGGATCCGTGTCTTTAAATCCCATTTCCTCCAGTTTACAGCGTCTGTACAATTCATAATGACGTGCATGTGTTTGCTCCCTCAGATCTTCCATATTTACACGAATCAACATTTCGCGGAGCTTTACAAAGTCACAGTGGCTTTCATTCTCCACTATAAAGTCATTCATTTTCCCCATGAAAGGAAAAAAGGGAAAACACTTTCTTGTCATTTACTGCATTCTTTCAACAAAACCTAAAGTATAAAAAATTTCAAGTTCCTTAACGTTTCCACAAATCAATGCTGACTGACTGAGGGATACTTTCCTACAACACTTGTACCTTGTCAAAAGCTTTAAAGTACTTGTCCACTGCTTTCCAAGAAGAGAGCAGTGCTGGCAAGTGGAGCACTGCAGCATTTTAAAAACTGCACATTAATTTAAAAATAGTGTTTATGTGCAACTGATGGCACCTGTTCTAAAATGACATGAAGTAGTGCAACCATTGGCATCGAGGGTGCTAATTTTCCCCAATATATTTGCTATAGTCCACAAAATAATCACGTATAACGAAAACCATTTCCATAAATATCATCATGCCCAGACATACCATTTCTCTTCCTATATCGTTTATACAAAGTCTTTTTTTAAAAGATGGAGGTTTCACTGTTATAATTTATCCTGAAAAGGAATTAACGATTATTTACGACCACCATGCATCTTTTTCAGAAACAAGTATTTCAAATCTAGTTTCAGGTGCTGAAAAGCAATGTAGGCTTGATTCACCAATACAATGATGCAAAATTACCAGAATCTAAAGTTTTTCTTTTGGACATAAATCATCATCCACTCTGTGGAATCATTATACTAACAAGTTCAATTTTATAGTCCTGTGTAGTACAGTACTATAACCTGGTTCACCGTTACTTGATTCAGTACTATCATCCAGTTCAGTATGAACACTGGACAACAAGCAAAAAGTGAATTATATACTGTTTTACAGACCCAACATGTTCTGCTTACATAAAATTAATGTTAAGCATAGATTTAACTGTTATGTACATGGTACACTACATTTGGTTTCAGATTACCGTTTTACCTCAAATCTATTGCCAGTTGCAGGCATTGAGAAATGTAGATGTGTTTTGACTAATAGCTTATATCATTAAAAAAGGATTTATCAAAAACTATGAAATAAAAACATCTTTATCAAAAAAAGGGAATTAAAGCTTTACTGGAATGGATAAAAGCTCTTTCCTTCTAAGAGATTTTTTGAAATTATCTCCATGATATGCATAATGTACTGGTGGGGAACCCAAATCCCAGCTTGGTAACTACTTTCATCGGTCTTGTCAGGTCAATGCCTGCATTAAGCAGCAATATGGGAAAACTGACTGTGATCCAATTGGCACAATTCAGTGGTATTACAGCAACGAATACCTTCCAATATATCCACCAGAATTATTTTTACTTTGAAAAATAGCAAAACAAACTAACCTATTTTAAAAGTACAATGCATTGATTATGTCTGTTAAAGTGCAGCGCACTGAATACCAATTGTTTAACAAAATTCAAAAGATAGATGGAAAGTGCTTTGTTTCAATCAATTGTCACAAAGAAATTGCTTGGCAATCTCAATTGTTCTTTCAACCATTAAACACATGAAATATGGTAAGGACAGAACAAAAAGAAAGATGCATCCTCCTCAAACATACCCTGTACAACTCCCCAGGGATACTGCCGAGCTTTTGCCATTTTATTACCAATCTTTATTTCTTCAGTGCTGCCAACAACTGCAAATGGAAGATGACCCTGGAGACAAAAAAAAAGAAATGTGTTCTTCCTGTATTAGTCTACAACAGAATGAAACTGTAACGGTGCACTCTATCAGAATCTCCATTGCAATGGAAATACTTTCTTTGACATGGAGCACGTTTTTCAAGTTGAACAAATAGCATTGAAAATATATAATCTATAAAAGAACAAAATCCTATTACAATGCTTAATTGTGAAATATAAAATGCATCAATTTTAACATGCAATACTCAAGGATATTTGAGTACTGTAAACAGAAAACATTTATTTCTTTAAGCATAGGTAGTGAAGTTCAAAATATTAGTGCTTGTCCCAAAGGCATACTGTCTCAAAGGACCACTACATCTCCCTGCTTCTGAAATTACAATGACAAAATGGTATTACAACCCTGAAACTGAATACATTTATTCTAATAAGATTTCATGATATGTTTAAAAAAAGCAGTGCATTAACATGCATCCAATCATACTGCATTACAAATTAGATATCCAAAAAGTGTAAACTTACAAAGTAACTGAAATATCAAAAAAGAAAATATACACCCATGCCACAACAAGTAATTACAACTTACATTCATTGTTGAATTGATCTCAGCAACAGTTTCATCATCCGTTGGGAACTGGTAAATCTGCACACCATTACTGACTAATTCACTCATGATTTTGATCTTGAATTTATGTAATTCGCTCTTGGAGATTGTGTCTGCTTTAGCAATTATGGGGATTATATTCACCTGCAAAAATAAAAATACATCAGTTCTTGTATGCCTTGTTTGGTCAAGGACCATTTCCCGAGTTCTGTAGTATAAAAAGTTAGAACAGCATAAAAGAGATGCAGTTCTGATCGACATTGATGACAATAACGTGACCAAGGACGTAACTTACAGCTCATTCGCATATACTCATGCACGTTATTAGTACATTACAATGCTGTAAATATTTGTCTGAAAGATGGAAAAAGAAAAATTTTGCTCTGAAGGAATCAAGGGAAATGAGGAACAGTTTGGTAAGTGGAATTGAAGTAGATCAGCTATATTCATATTAAATGGTGTCGCAGGCTAAAATGGCCTTACTGTTCTCTCGTTGCTATTTTATGATGCTTTGAGGGCCCTCACCTCATTCTCTACCACCAACTCCCTCCCATTTCAACAATTTTATTGCTGCAATGAAAGAGCAAGCTTTGTGCCTGTATGTCAACTGTGAACCCACATGGAAAACATTAAGTTTAATTTAATCAGGTCAGAGATTGTAGACAGAGAAGTTAGTTAGTTATGATCGCCTAATTCTACATTAAGGTGTCAGGAATCATTTTATTCCATGGCAGTTTATGAAAGGATTTAATGTGAGAAGGAGAAACAAGAAACACATCAAATATTTCTGATTGATGCAGGATAATAAAACACATATAAAGATAGAACAATGTACATCAAGTGTACCTATAACTTATTTGTAGATTACATTCTTAATGTTTTCATCATTTCAATTATCATGTGAGTACAATTTCTAAACCAAATACAAGACATATTTGGAGTTCGCTCTCAAGCCAGAGGCTGCATCATGATTTCTAAAGAAAATGGTGTCTATATACTCAAAAAATAAAGTCCAACTTATAGAAGAGGAAATTCATTACTAAATTAAGCAGCTTCAGGTAATGGGCCCATATTTTCCAGAGTTTAGGAGAATGAGAGGTGATCTACTTTAAATGTATTATTGTTAAATAAACAGGGTAGATGCTGGGGGTGTTTACCCCTGGCTGAAGAGCCCAGAACTGGGGAATATAATCTCAGCATAGGTCATTTAAGACACAGGAGAAAATAAATGTTTTCACTTAGGGGTGGCATGATGGCTCAGTGGTTAGCGCTGCAGCCTCACAGCACAAGGCACCTGTGTTCAGTTCCACCCTCAGGTAACTGTCCGTGTGGAGTTTGCACGTTCTCCCCATGTCTGCATGGGTTTCCTCTGGGTGTTCCAGTTTCCTCCCACAGTCCAAAGATGTGCAGGTTAAGTGGATTAGCCATGCTAAATTGCCTATTGTGTCAGGAGATTTGCAGGCTAGGTGGATTAGCCATTGAAAATGCAGAGTCCCAGGGCTAGAGTAGAGGGCTGGGTTGCTCATCAGAGGAGTCAGTGTGGGCTCGATGGACGAATGACCTGCTCCATACTGTAGGGATTCTATGATTCTATATACAGAATTGAGAGCATTTGGAATTCTTCATCCCCGAGGTTGTGGTCGATTGAATAATACAGTTGGACAACAAGGAAATCAATGAAGTGATACGTGATAAGCCAAGAAGTTAAAGTTGGATTGAAAGTTCAATCGTACTTGTCATAAACGCTGCAGTAGATTCTCAAGAGGCCACATAGTCTACTCTTGCTTATATGCTTAAACTAGAATACAAGGATAGAGTAATGAATTGTTAACATTGTGCAAGTTGAAAAATTCTTTTCAATGGAACCAGTATAATTTACTTCTGAAATTATCTTTTCCTTTCTATTTCAAAATATATCACTCTACCTGATTAGATACTAGTACTAAACATTGTCAAAAACAAGTGAGACTTATTTGGATTCGCAAATGTAATGAATTTCAGAGATAAACGTCAACTGTCTCATAATGGTGAACAAAATTCAGAAAATAAATCGACTGACTAGAAACAAAGGAGGAAACAATAAGAAGTATTTACTTTTGTACGTGTATTAAGTAACAGCCTATGAAAAAATCTGAGGTTATGAAATTAAATTGTTAGTAAAGGTGCCAGGATATCAGAGCTCTTCAGACTGGTGTTGCAGTACTTGGCATGAGGGAATAGAAACATAATTTAACTTGGATCATGAAGTGGAAAAGACTTCAACGACAATTCTAGTTTTGCAGAGGCAGACAGAGTATATATTTCAACCATTTCTCATGATGTTTATAAGTGTGTGTAGTCAGCAAAGGTTGTGAAGTTAAAGATGGGAGCCCAGCTATTTGGTTCACATTTTTAACGAAAATCCAGGAAACAATCTTTCATTTTGAACAAATGAATAATGCACTAAACAATGATCTCATTTTTTAAAAAAAATTCTACTTCCTTTTAAGTAGCTGTAACAGAAAAAACAGTGTCTGCATCCTTTCAACAACACTTGAAAGGAATGAAGAGGAAGCATGCCACAGGAAATAAAAACAGTATGAGATTTGCAACAGGAAATGAATTATCCCAACACATTCAGCTAACTTCTTTAAACAAGCTGATTTGAATTTATAGATCTAGAAAACAACTCTATTTAATAAATGGAAACTTAAAGACAGTTCATCTTGTGATAATCCTGTAAGCACAGGTTAACCAGAAAGCTAACTTGTAGATGTTTTTCTCCTCAGGAAATTATGTGCAGTTTATTGTATCTTAAAATTTATTTTCAATCTTCATCAAATCAAACCAAATAACAGCCTCTTCTGGAAACAGAAATGGAAAGGAGGAACAAGAAGTGGTTTAAAAAGGGGAAGTAAGGATAATTACCCTTGACATCAAAGCGTTATTGACTTGCCGGAGTGTGGCATCAAGGAGCTCAGCAAACCTGGAGTTAATGGAAATCGGGGGCAAAAGTCTCTGCTGGTTTGAGTCATACTTGGCAGCTAGAATGATGGAGGTCAATCATCCCAGTAGGAGTTCCTCAGGGCATAGAATTTAAAATCTATTCCACATCTCTGGAACACACCTCTTTTAGCTCAGAAGTAGGGACACTTCCACGGTGCTACAAGAGCACAGGTTTCCTCAGGGCAATGTTCTAGGTCCAACCATCTTCAGCTACTTCAATGAACTCCATCATAAGGTCAGAGTTGGGGATGTTTGCTGATGACTGCACAATGTTCAATACCATTCACAACTCTGCAGACACTGAAACAATCCATGTATAAGTGCAGCCAGACTTGGATAACTTTCAGGACTGGGCTAAGTGGCAAGTAACATTCACCCCATACAAAAGTCAAGCAATCAGCATCTTCAACATAAAAGAAGCCAACCCTTGTCTCTTGACCGTTGCTGAATTCCTCACTACAAACATCCTGAGGGCTTACCATTGATCAGAAACAGAACTGGATCAACCATTAACAAAATATGGCTATAAAAGAGCAGTTCAGAAGCTGTGACTCACCTCCTGACTGCCAAAGCCTACTTATAAGGCACAAGTCAGGACAGTGACTGAAAACTCTCCGCTTAACTGGATAAATGCAGCTTCAACAAAGGTCATGAAGCTCAACAACAACCAGGTCAAAGCAAATGCTTGATTGGCACTCCATCCAAAACTTTAAATACTCACTCCTTACACCAACAATGCACACAGTGACAACGTGTACCATCCAAAAGATGTACTGGCAACAAGTCACTAAAGGCTCCTCTAACAGCACACCACCTGCAAGTTCTCTTTCGAGCCACACATCATCCACAATTAGAAATATATTACTGTTCATTTATTGTTGCTGTGTCAAAATCCTGGAACTCCCTCCTGAACAGCATTGTGCTGTACCTACAGCACATGAACTGCAGAGATACAAGAGGCACCACCAACTTTTCCACATCAATTAGGAAGGGACAATAAATGCTGCCCCAGCATATTGTGAGAATTAATAAGCGAGTATATCAATTGTACAAAATAAAAACCGAAAGAACTGTGGATGCTGTGAATCAGAAACAAAAACAAAGTTGCTGGAAAAGCTCAGCAGGTCTGGCAGCATCTGTGAAGGAAAAAACAGAGTTAATGTTTCGGGTCCGATGACCTGGTTCTGAGGAAGAGGTGAGAATTTGAACTAAATTGGCATTCAATACCATTTAAAATGCACAAATAATTAAATACTATTTCGAAATTTTATTACCTTGTATTTAGTTTTTGGAACTGAGTTGAACACAGAAGGACTGAAAAATATATTCTATATATGTATGAATGTATGAATGGACACCGGACCCAAAACATTAACTCTGTTTTCTTCCTTCACAGATGCTGCCAGACTGCTGAGCTTTTCCAGTAACTTTGTTTTTATATCAATTATACCTCAAATCAAATGAAAAAACTCAGTGAGAATAGGCATGATTGAAAAGATTACTGAGTGACTTTTGAAAACGGAGGGATATAGAAGTGTTTGGAGGAACACTGCAGGTTAGGTGTGATTAACTTTGATCCAGAAGCAGTACAGAAAAGAAAATTTATAATTTATTTAAAATGTCTAGGGAACTTTTTAGAATTTGCATCAATCATAAAACAACAAACTAATTTGGATAAGAAGAAATACTGGTCCATGTGACCTGGCAACTTTTGAACTGAAAGAAATATAACAGGAAGGAAGTTGATAGCCATATGGTCAGACACAGAGGGGAGCTATAAGCAGGGAGCTGGGATGCGAAATTAATCAGCACAGTGATTCTTAGGGCTCCTGGGCCTGTGTGTGGGCTAAAAACGTGTAAAACCTGGAGGGCTGCGTGAATAGCTCGGTGACAAAAAAAAACTATGTTCTGGGAAAGCAACAAGTACAGGAGTGTAATTAGTTCTTCAGTTGAAAAGAAATCTGGATAGCCACACCATTGGTGACCCAAGACAGGCATTTATGATGCTGAGAGCTATATGAATACCCTGTGCAGTCGCCCCACAGCTCAAGATATTTGGAAAGTGCACCCAGAAGCAACCTGTAGTGCCAAGGGTGGCTCAGTTGCATGGAGTCAAGGAGGAAGAATGGAAAAGCAAAATAGTGATAAGGTATTCCACA